ATGTCCTGGAGGCCACCCAGGTGTACCCTCATACCAACTACCTGCTTAGTGTCCTGTCCTGGAGGCCACCAACCTGGTGTACCCTCATACCAACCTACCTGCTTAGTGTCCTGTCCTGGAGGCCACCTGGTGTACCCTCATACCAACCTACCTGCTTAGTGTCCTGTCCTGGAGGCCACCTGGTGTACCCTCATACCAACCTACCTGCTTAGTGTCCTGTCCTGGAGGCCACCTGGTGTACCCTCATACCAACCAACCTGCTTACCTGCTTAGTGTCCTGTCCTGGAGGCCACCTGGTGTACCCTCATACCAACCTACCTGCTTAGTGTCCCTGGAGGCCACTGGTGTACCCTCATACCAACCTACCTGCTTAGTGTCCTGGGAGGCCACCTGGTGTACCCTCATACCAACCTACGCTGCTTAGTGTCCTGTCCTGGAGGCCACCTGGTGTACCCTCATACCAACCTTCCTGCTTAGTGTCCTGTCCTGGAGCCACACCTGGTGTACCCTCATACCAACCTACCTGCTTAGTGTCCTGTCCTGGAGGCCACCTGGTGTACCCTCATACCAACCTTCCTGCTTAGTGTCCTGTCCTGGAGGCCACCTGGTGTACCCTCATACCAACCTTCCTGCTTAGTGTCCTGTCCTGGAGGCCACCTGGTGTACCCTGTTACCTGTCCTGGAGGCCCAACCAACCTACCTGCTTAGTGTCCTGTCCTGGAGGCCACCTGGTGTACCCTCATACCAACCTACCTGCTTAGTGTCCTGTCCTGGAGGCCACCTGGTGTACCCTCATACCAACCTTCCTGCTTAGTGTCCTGTCCTGGAGGCCACCTGGTGTACCCTCATACCAACCTACCTGCTTAGTGTCCTGTCCTGGAGGCCACCTGGTGTACCCTCATACCAACCTTCCTGCTTAGTGTCCTGTCCTGGAGGCCACCTGGTGTACCCTCATACCAACCTTCCTGCTTAGTGTCCTGTCCTGGAGGCCACCTGGTGTACCCTCATACCAACCTACCTGCTTAGTGTCCTGTCCTGGAGGCCACCTGGTGTACCCTCATACCAACCTTCCTGCTTAGTGTCCTGTCCTGGAGGCCACCTGGTGTACCCTCATACCAACCTACCTGCTTAGTGTCCTGTCCTGGAGGCCACCTGGTGTACCCTCATACCAACCTACCTGCTTAGTGTCCTGTCCTGGAGGCCACCTGGTGTACCCTCATACCAACCTACCTGCTTAGTGTCCTGTCCTGGAGGCCACCTGGTGTACCCTCATACCAACCTTCCTGCTTAGTGTCCTGTCCTGGAGGCCACCTGGTGTACCCTCATACCAACCTTCCTGCTTAGTGTCCTGTCCTGGAGGCCACCTGGTGTACCCTCATACCAACCTACCTGCTTAGTGTCCCTGTCCTGGAGGCCACCTGGTGTACCCTCATACCAACCTTCCTGCTTAGTGTCCTGTCCTGGAGGCCACCTTGTGTACCCTCATACCAACCTTCCTGCTTAGTGTCCTGTCCTGGAGGCCACCTGGTGTACCCTCATACCAACCTTCCTGCTTAGTGTCCTGTCCTGGAGGCCACCTGGTGTACCCTCATACCAACCTTCCTGCTTAGTGTCCTGTCCTGGAGGCCACCCGGTGTACCCTCATACCAACCTACTTGCTTAGTGTCCTGTCCTGGAGGCCACCTGGTGTACCCTCATACCAACCTTCCTGCTTAGTGTCCTGTCCTGGAGGCCACCTGGTGTACCCTCATACCAACCTTCCTGCTTAGTGTCCTGTCCTGGTTTCCATCCCACATAAGCAGGGTGGCGGTGGCATGGAGAGGACTTCCATCTGGGATGGTGGTAGAACATAACACCATTGTTCAGCTTCCCTTGGCTGCACTATTAATAGACTCCTTGTTCCAGATTGAGGAACCTGATGCTGGATTCGAGGTATTACATAAGTCCTTCATTCCGCCAACATGAAGGTCAGGAAGGAGAAGGCCGGATGTAGCGATGAACACCACCTCTTCATCCTCCCGCAATATATCATTCAGCCACAACGTGTAACGTGAAGCCCCGCGATGCCCACGTACGGCAAACAAACCCGGCCCCTACAGGCCCCGCACATACTTACCGTTCTTTAGTCTATCCAATGGCTTGGGTTCAGTCCAAACCCGGAAGGAAGCCATCATTGCCTGCCCAATCAGCTGTGGCATTCCAAAAGGACGGAGATGCTCGTGACATCGTTGACCTATAATGGACATATTGGGTCAACGACATTGTCCACGTACCCATATTAGGTCAATGGTGTCATGCTCACCCTGCCCCTTGGTTTACACCCAGCTTCCTTCTGGGTCGGGACCAAATCCAAGTTCAACCCTAGATGGGAATAAAAAGACAGCCCTGTGTAGCCTACAAGTCGCTGGAGCCGTAGCTTGGGCCGTGGGCTCCTCACTGATTGGCCAAGAGTTGTCACATGGCTTAAAGAGGAACATATGCTAGATGCCAGAACCCCGGTAATACATTTTCTCATAGGCGCCGGTCTTTCAGATAAAAGTGATCCAAGGGGTGCAATCGCCACTGGATCACTTTAAGAAGCGGCAGGAAGCCCCGGTGGTTTTCAGGCTTACCTGGATGACCGGTGAGCCCGAGACCCGTTCCGATAGGGAAAGATGGCTGCTGCTCATTTCTGTGGTCTAGGACAGTGGTCTCCAAACTGTGGCCCTTTGCTTGCATTTATCGGGCCCTTAGGGAACTATGTCATCCGCTGATACCAACAATGGGGCATAGTTCCGCCCCACTGACACCAGTGAAGGGGCACAGTTCCTGCTAATGACACCAACGATGGGACACAATTCCTCCCACTGACAACAATGATGCGGTCCAACTCCAATTGAAGAAGGACCCTTCCTGAAGAAGAAGGACCCTTCCAGAAGAAGAAGAACCCCTCCAGAAGAAGAAGAACCACTCGAGCAGAAGAATAAGGACCCTTCCAGAAGAAGAAGGATCCCTCCAGAAGAAGAAGAATCCCACCAGCAGAAGAAGAATCCCTCCAGAAGAAGAAGAAGGACCCCTCCGGAAAAAGAGAACCCCTCCAGAGGAAGAAGAACCCCACCAGCAGAAGAAGGACCCCTCCAGAAGAAGAAGGACCCTTGCAAAAAAAGAACCTCTCCAACAGAAGAAGGACCCCTCCAGAAGAAGACGAACCCTTCCAGAAGAAGAAGGACCCCTCCAGAAGAAGACGAACCCCTCCAATAGAGGACGAATCCATCCAGCAGAAGAAGAACACCTCCAGCAGAAAGGACCCCTCCAGAAGAAGACAAACCCTTCCAGAAGAAGGACCCCTCCAGAAGAAGAAGAATCTCTCCAGAAGAAGGGACCCTTGCAGAAAAAGAAGGACCCCTCCAGAAGAAGAAGAACCCCTCCAGCAGAAGAAAGACCCCTCTAGAAGAAGACAAACCCTTCCAGAAGAAGGACACCTCCAGAAGAAAAAGGACCCTTAGAGAAGAAGAACCCCTCCAGAAGAATAAGGACCCTTTCAGAAGAAGAAGAACCCCTCCAGCAGAAGAAGGACCCCTCCAATAAAGGACGAACCCTTCCAGCAGAAGAAGAACCCCTTCAGCAGAAATGACCCCTCCAGAAGAAGATGAACCCTTTCAGAAGAAGAAGGACCCCTTTAGAGGAAGAAGAACCCCTCCATAAGAAGTAGGACCCTTCCAGAAGAAGAAGGACCTCTCCAGATGAAGAAGGACCTCTCCAGATGAAGAAGGACCCCTCCAGATGAAGAAGGACCCTTCCAGAGGAAGAAGGACCCTTCCAGAGAGGAAGAAGGACCCTTTTATGCAGGCGTCATAACGGCGATGCTGGCAGGGGTGGGTAAGGGGGGCGGAGCAAACGGACAGAGGACTGAGGTTGCTCTTTTCGGTGGCTTTTGGTAACTCCAAGGTTGGGTTACAGAAGCCCGTTTCACCGATCCTGCGTGTCTTGTGGGAAAAGAATAAGTCCTTGGCATTCTTAAGGGGAAAAAATGGAGGAAAATTGGACGTTTTTTTTTTTTTTTTTTATTTAAACACAAAAATTGTGAATGGAAGAGGTGCGGCTAGAAGGGACGGGTTGGTACTCTAAGAGCCCATTGACATGTATACAATGCGTTCGTGCGTTTTATATCGCCTCTCAATGGCAGCCCATCGAAACCAACTCCTGAAAAACCGGCCAAAAAATTTGAACCCGTGGCACCACCAATGCGCTCTCCTGCGTGTTGCCATTCAAAAAACGAATGTCGCCGCAAGGCGCGTAATGCGCGTAGCCATGCATCATCAGGTGCGTCCCCACAATGCCACCGCCTACGTGGGCCCCAAGGGTTTCCACGTGTGCGGGAAGGCTAGGGTCAGCCCGCTGGAAGCGCTGGAAGCGCCGGCTGCACCGTCATCGAACGTTTCCTGCTTGTTGAGGGGAAGCGGATACAAAGGATTTTGTGCGTTCGCGTTTCTTGCCAGGAATGTTGACAATCCGGTGAACATATACTTCGACTCATGTAAATGCGCGCTCCTCTGCTTTAGGTGCGAACATATGGCTGATCGGGGAATGTTTTGATTTGGAGACGTCTGATGTTGCGGGTCCTGTGATCGCAGAAAACATATTATTACATGGCGGCGCGTCACCTGCGCCGAGGAGCGGCACCGGCAACAAACAAACAAACACGCGTTACTGCCGCCGTGTGCGGAACACGAGATGAAGCTGTAGATTAGCAGCCGTCTTGTTGAGTAGAAGGACCTTCCAGTGGTTCCATTCAGACACCGTACAGAGTGCAGGGTTCAGGGGGGTGCGCTACATACAGAGTCAGGGTTCAGGGGTGCGCTACATACAGAGTCAGGGTTCAGGGGTGCGCTACATACAGAGTCAGGGTTCAGGGGTGCGCTACATACAGAGTCAGGGTTCAGGGGTGCGCTACATACAGAGTCAGGGTTCAGGGGTGCACTACATACAGAGTCAGGGTTCAGGGTGCGTACATACAGAGTCAGGGTTCAGGGGTGCGCTACATACAGAGTGCAGGGTTCAGGGGTGCGCTACATACAGAGTGCAGGGTTCAGGGGTGCGCTACATACAGAGTGCAGGGTTCAGGGGTGCGCTACATACAGAGTCAGGGTTCAGGGGTGCGCTACATACAGAGTCAGGTTCAGGGGTGCGCTACATACAGAGTGCAGGGTTCAGGGGTGCGCTACATACAGAGTGCAGGGTTCAGGGGTGCGCTACATACAGAGTGCAGGGTTCAGGGGTGCGCTACATACAGAGTGCAGGGTTCAGGGGTGCGCTACATACAGAGTGCAGGGTTCAGGGTGCGCTACATACAGAGTGCAGGGTTCAGGAGTGCGCTACATACAGAGTGCAGGGTTCAGGAGTGCGCTACATACAGAGTGCAGGGTTCAGGAGTGCGCTACATACAGAGTGCAGGGTTCAGGAGTGCGCTACATACAGAGTTCAGGGTTCAGGAGTGCGCTACATACAGAGTGCAGGGTTCAGGGGTGCGCTACATACAGAGTGCAGGGGGTGCGCTACATACAGAGTGCAGGGTTCAGGGGTGCGCTACATACAGAGTGCAGGGTTCAGGGGTGCGCTACATACAGAGTGCAGTTTCAGGGGTGCGCTACATACAGAGTCAGGGTTCAGGGGTGCGCTACATACAGAGTCAGGGTTCAGGGGTGCGCTACATACAGAGTGCAGGGTTCAGGGGTGCGCTACATACAGAGTGCAGTTCAGGGGGTGCGCTACATACAGAGTGCAGGGTTCAGGGGTGCGCTACATACAGAGTGCAGGGTTTCAGGGGTGCGCTACATACAGAGTGGTTCAGGGGTGCGCTACATACAGAGTGCAGGGTTCAGGGGTGCGCTACATACAGAGTCAGTTCAGGTGCGCTACATACAGGGGTTCAGGGGTGCGCTACATACAGAGTGCAGGGTTCAGGGTTCAGGGGTGCGCTACATACAGAGTCAGGGTTCAGGGGTGCGCTACATACAGAGTCAGGGTTTCAGGGGTGCGCTACATACAGAGTCAGGGTTCAGGGTGTGCGCTACATACAGAGTGCAGGGTTCAGGGGTGCGCTACATACAGAGTCAGGGTTCAGGGGTGCGCTACATACAGAGTGGAGTTCAGGGGTGCGCTACATACAGAGGGTTCAGGGTGGCTACATAGGTGCAGGGTTCAGGGTGCGCTACATACAGAGTCAGGGTTCAGGAGTGCGCTACATACAGAGTGCAGGGTTCAGGGGTGCGCTACATACAGAGTGCAGGGTTCAGGGTGCGCTACATACAGAGTGCAGGGTTCAGGGGTGCGCTACATACAGAGTCAGGGTTCAGGGGTGCGCTACATACAGAGTGCAGGGTTCAGGGGTGCGCTACATACAGAGTGCAGGGTTCAGGGGTGCGCTACATACAGAGTGCAGGGTTCAGGGTGCGCTACATACAGAGTGCAGGGTTCAGGGGTGCGCTACATACAGAGTCAGGGTTCAGGAGTGCGCTACATACAGAGTGCAGGGTTCAGGGGTGCGCTACATACAGAGTGCAGGGTTCAGGGGTGCGCTACATACAGAGTGCAGTGTTCAGGGGTGCGCTACATACAGAGTGCAGGGTTCAGGGGTGCGCTACATACAGAGTCAGGGTTCAGGGGTGCGCTACATACAGAGTGCAGGGTTCAGGGTGCGCTACATACAGAGTGCAGGGTTCAGGGGTGCGCTACATACAGAGTCAGGGTTCAGGGGTGCGCTACATACAGAGTCAGGGTTCAGGGGTGCGCTACATACAGAGTGCAGGGTTTCAGGGGTGCGCTACATACAGAGTCAGGGTTCAGGGGTGCGCTACATACAGAGTGCAGGTTCAGGGGTGCGCTACATACAGAGTGCAGGGTTCAGGGGTGCGCTACATACAGAGTGCAGGGTTCAGGGGTGCGCTACATACAGAGTGCAGGGTTCAGGGTGCGCTACATACAGAGTCAGGGTGCGTTCAGGGGTGGGGCTACATACAGAGTCAGGGTTCAGGGGTGCGCTACATACAGAGTCAGGGTTCAGGGTGCGCTACATACAGAGTGCAGGGTTCAGGGGTGCGCTACATACAGAGTTCAGGGTGCGCTACATACAGAGTGGGGTTTAGGGGTGCGCTACATACAGAGTGCAGGGTTCAGGGGTGCGCTACATACAGAGTGCAGGGTTCAGGGGTGCGCTACATACAGAGTGCAGGGTTCAGGGGTGTGCGCTACATACAGAGTCAGGGTTCAGGGGTGCGCTACATACAGAGTGCAGGTTCAGGGGTGCGCTACATACAGAGTCAGGGTTCAGGGGTGCGCTACATACAGAGTGTTTAGGGTGTTTAGGGGTGCGCTACATACAGAGTGCAGGTTTTTAGGGGTGCGCTACATACAGAGTTCAGGGTTTAGGGGTGCGCTACATACAGAGTGCAGGGTTCAGGGGTGCCTACATACAGAGTGCAGGGTTCAGGGGTGCGCTACATACAGAGTTCAGGGTTTAGGGGTGCGCTACATACAGAGTCAGGGTTCAGGGGTGCGCTACATACAGAGTGCAGTGTTTAGGGGTGCGCTACATACAGAGTGCAGGTTTAGGGGTGCGCTACATACAGAGTCAGGGTTCAGGGGTGCGCTACATACAGAGTGCAGTGTTTAGGGTGCGCTACATACAGAGTGCAGGGTTCAGGGTTTAGAGTGGGGTGCGCTACATACAGAGTGCAGGTTTCAGGGTGCGCTACATACAGAGTGCAGGGTTCAGGGGTGCGCTACATACAGAGTTCAGGGTTCAGGGGGGGTGCGCTACATACAGAGTGCAGGGTTTAGGGGTGCGCTACATACAGAGTGCAGGGTTTAGGGGTGCGCTACATACAGAGTTCAGGGTTTAGGGGTGCGCTACATACAGAGTGCAGGGTTCAGGGTTTACATACAGAGTGCAGGTGGCTACATACAGAGTGCAGTGTTTAGGGGTGCGCTACATACAGAGTGCAGGGTTTAGGGGTGCGCTACATACAGAGTGCAGGGTTTAGGGGTGCGCTACATACAGAGTCAGGGTTCAGGAGTGCGCTACATACAGAGTCAGGGTTCAGGAGTGCGCTACATACAGAGTGCAGGGTTTAGGGGTGCGCTACATACAGAGTGCAGGGTTCAGGGGTGCGCTACATACAGAGTCAGGGTTCAGGAGTGCGCTACATACAGAGTGCAGTGTTTAGGGGTGCGCTACATACAGAGTGCAGAGTTCAGGAGTGCGCTACATACAGAGTGCAGGGTTCAGGGGTGCGCTACATACAGAGTGCAGGGTTCAGGGGGCTGCGCTACATACAGAGTGCAGAGTTCAGGAGTGCGCTACATACAGAGTGCAGTGTTCAGGGGTGCGCTACATACAGAGTCAGGGTTCAGGAGTGCGCTACATACAGAGTGCAGTTCAGTTTAGGGGTGTGCTACATACAGAGTGCAGGGTTCAGGGGTGCGCTACATACAGAGTGCAGGGTTTAGGGGTGCGTTACATACAGAGTGCAGGGTTTAGGGGTGCGCTATGTTGTGGTGTACAGAGTGCAGGGTTTAGGGGTGCGTTACATACAGAGTCAGGGTTTAGGGGTGCGCTACATACAGAGTGCAGGGTTTAGGGGTGCGCTACATACAGAGTGTTTAGGGGTGTACATACAGAGTCAGCAGGGTTTAGGGTGCGTACATACAGAGTGCAGGGTTTAGGGGTGCGTTACATACAGAGTTCAGGGTTTAGGGGTGCGTTACATACAGAGTTCAGGGTTTAGGGGTGCGCTACATACAGAGTGCAGTGTTTAGGGGTGTGCGCTACATACAGAGTGCAGGGTTTGAGGGGTGCGTTACATACAGAGTGCAGGGATTTAGGGGTGCGCTACATACAGAGTCAGGGTTTAGGGGTGCGTACATACAGAGTGCAGGGTTTAGGGGTGCGTACATACAGAGTGCAGGGTTGAGGAGTCCATTACATACAGAGTGCAGGGATTTAGGGGTGCGTTACATACAGAGTGCAGGGTTTAGGGGTGCGCTATGTTGTGGTGTGCAGGGTTCAGCTCTCTTTCACAAGGCTGTCCACATCTCCCTTCCACCCGTCTTCCTCAGCTCTTCCAGCTAAAAGAGCCCTGGGTGCGAGGGCCGCATGAAATGTCCTGGTGGGCCGGATCGTGCCCGCGGGCCGTGCGTTGGACACATGTGCATTAGAACACAGAGATTTGTAAATTCTGCTTCTCACGAAGACAGAAGGAACCTTACAAGGAACGAGTCTGATGTGTATAAAAGGTGAGCGGTGAAAGCGGTGGTCTCCTCACCATGCCTGCTGTCCAGAAACGTTCGTACTTTGCCCGAATGTCTCTAAGGGGATTCGTTCTGGACGATCACAATGTAGGACTGAGCAGATCCTTTTAAAAAGATCCTGGGAAGGGGTTCAAAAAAAATTGTAATTGTGTATGAAAGCAGCTTTTGACTGTATATTGAGCTCTTGGTAACGATCCTGGGCTGGTCGGGTCGTTGGTCTCCCCATTGGGTGGTGTACTTCTTCCCAAAGGCGCCCAGGTCACCATTATATACGACGTCTACTTGATCATGGCGGGCTTGCAAATCTTGGTTTTCTTGGGCAGCAGCATGGCCTGGATGTTGGAAGGACTCCTCCCTGGATGATTGTGACACCACCGAGCACTTCATTGAGCTCCTTGTCATTGAGGACAGCCAACTGCAGGTTTTGAGGAACTGATGTGGTCTTCTTGTGGTCATGGGCCAACTTGAGAATAGACTGGATGTTGGGTAGGACTCCTCCCTGGGTGATGGTGACTCCGCCGTCCAGCAATCTGAGCTCCTCACCATTGCAGACAGCCAGCTGCAAGTTTCGGGGGCTGATGCTGGTCTCTTTATGGTTGTGGGCCAACTTAGGAAAAGACTGGATGTTGGGAAGGACTCCTCCCTGGGTGACAGTGACCCCACCGAGCAGCTTGCCAATGAGGACAGCCAACTGCAGGTTTTGGGGGACTGATGCTGGTCTTCTTGTGGTCATGGGCCATCTTGAGAATAGACTAGATGTTGGGTAGGACTTCTCCCTGGGTGACGGTGACTCCGCCGTCCAGCAATCTGAGCTCCTCACCATTGAGGACAGCCAACTACAGGTTTTGTGGTCATGGGTCAACTTGAGAATAGACTGGATGTTGGACAGGACTCCTTCCTGAGTAATGGTGACCCCATCGAGCAGCTTGTTGGGCTCCTTGTCAATGAGGACAGCCAACTGCAGGTTTTGAGGGACTGATGCTGGTCTTCTTGTGGTCATGGGTCAACTTGAGAATAGACTGGATGCTGGGTAGGACTCTTCCCTGGGTGACGGTGACTCCGCCGTCCAGCAATCTGAGCTCCTCAGACAGCTGTAAGGTTTGGGGGCTGATGCAGGTCTTCTTGTGGTTATGGGCCAACTTGAAGATGGACTAGATGTTGGACAGGACTCCTTCCTGGGTGTTGGTGACTCCACCGTCCAGCAATCTGAGCTCCTCACCATTGAGGACAGCCAACTGTAGGTTTTGGGGGCTGATGCTGGTCTCTTTATGGTTGTGGGCCAACTTAGGAAAAGACTGGATGTTGGGAAGCACTCCTCCCTGGGTGACAGTGACTTTACCGAGCAGCTTGTTGAGCTCCTTGTCAATGAGGACAGACAACTGCAGGTTTTGAGGGACTGATGCGGTCTTCTTCTGGTCATGGGCCAACTTGAGAATAGACTGGATGTTGGTTAGGACTCCTCCCTGGGTGACGGTGACTCCGCCGTCCAGCAATCTTAGCCCCTCACCATTGAGGACAGCCAACTGTAGGTTTTGAGGGACTGATGCTGGTCTTCTTCTGGTCATGGGTCAACTTGAGAATAGACTGGATGTTGGGTAGGACTCTTCCCTGGGTGACGGTGACTCCGCCGTCCAGCAATCTGAGCTCCTCAGACAGCTGTAAGGTTTGGGGGCTGATGCAGGTCTTCTTGTGGTTATGGGCCAACTTGAAGATGGACTGGATGTCTGACAGGACTCCTTCCTGAGTAATGGTGACCCCATCGAGCAGCTTGTTGGGCTCCTTGTCAATGAGGACAGCCAACAGCAGGTTTTGAGGGACTAATGCTGGTCTTCTTGTGGTCATGGGTCAACTTGAGAATAGACTGGATGTTGGGTAGGACTCCTCCCTGGGTGACGGTGACTCCGCCGTCCAGCAATCTGAGCTCCTCAGACAGCTGCAAGGTTTGGGGGCTGATGCAGGTCTTCTTGTGGTCATGGGTCAACTTGAGAATAGACTGGATGTTGGACAGGACTCCTTCCTGAGTAATGGTGACCCCATCGAGCAGCTTGTTGGGCTCCTCGTCATTGTGGACAGCGAGCTGCAGCTGCAGGTTTCGGTGGCTAATGCGGGTCTTCTTGTGGTCATAGGCCAACTGGAGAAACTTAAGGATGGCGGCCAAATAGCCAGAAGCTTCAACCCCAATCCATTGCTGCTCCTGAGAAGACATGACCAATTGGGGACTACAGACCAGCCTGCAATGATCAGGTCTTGGCCTTAGTTTGAACCTTGCCCCCTTGTTTGCTGAGTCCAGACATGATTCTGACAAAAGAGTCACCTAAAGAGACAGGAGGAACCACATGGCCAGCAATGGGACCAGCAATGTGGTCAGTCCAAGGAGTCAGATAGGATGTTTGCTACAGACTGAAATTTAAGCAAACAGGCCTCAGGGGCCACATGGAGATCCAGAGCCACTGCTTTACAGCACTTATGTTGCAGCTGTCTGAGGAGCTCAGATTGCTGGACGGCAGAGTCACCATCACCCAGGGAGGAGTCCTACCCAACATCCAGTCTATTCTCAAGTTGAACCATGACCACAAGAAGACCAGCATCAGCCCCTCAAAACCTGCAGTTGGCTGTCCTCATTGACAAGGAGCCCAACAAGCTGCTCGATGGGGTCACCATTACTCAGGAAGGAGTCCTGTCCAACATCCAGTCTATTCTCAAGTTGACCCATGACCACAAGAAGACCTGCATCAGCCCCCAAATCTTGCAGCTGTCTGAGGAGCTCAACGAGCTGCTCGGTGCTTCCATGGGCTGCACTGATGATGACCAAAAAGCCTGAAACAATCATGTAGAGTTTGGAATGAACGGTCCTATAATATTGGGCTGGAGGTCAGAAGTTCTGGTTTCCTTCCTGGTCTATAATGGAATGATTTCCATGGTTCCGCCCACCATCCAAACATGAGATATAAACTTCTCATCTCCGGGATGTGTGATGGACTTCAGACATGCAGACACTTGTTTTCGGGAGGTTCTGCTGGGCTTCCCATTGGCTCATGGAGTCATTTTGAACCCTTTTGGTTTTCAACCACCATAACCGGTCTGGTTATAATTCCCAAGTCTTGCGTCCTCTTGTGACGCAACCTCCATGGCCTGGCACACCAGTAGGCCATCAGTCATAACTATAAAACGTGCAATCCCACCCCTGGCAAGTGGTTCTTCAACTGGGACACGGGCAAGCAGGATATTTCATCAAAATGGATGAATTGGAGCGCCACGTGTATCCAGGACGGGAAGAAATAGGATATTGATCGAGTGTTTCTGTGCCGTGACCTTGACGCCACGTGGTGAAAGACCCGTCAATTCTGGATTGAAGGCCATACACTACCCAGTTTTCTTTTCTACCTCCAACTCCTACTGGATTTTTCTCCGGTGGTTCTCAATCTCAATGGATCTGAAACTGGGGCCCCGTAAATGCGTCCAAAACCTTCCGTGCCCAAAGAGTAAAAAAAAAAAACCCTTTGAAGGATGGGAATGCAAAGTAGGACTTAATTGGCTCCAAATCATTGGTGTCAGTGGAGCAGTTTTCCCCCCCGGTGCAAGAACAGCCCCCAACTCACTGCTGTCGGTGGGGTTGTGGCCCCTAGAGGAAAAAATGCTTGCAGATCTTTGGTGTCAGTGGGACTGAGCCCTCCAGGCCATAAGAATCCCTTGATTTATTAATGGCAGTGAGAATCGGGCCTCCAGGAGAAAGTAGCCCCCCAAATCATTGGTTCAGTGGGATGGTGGCCACAAGGGAAGAGTAGGGTTCATGGGATGGTGGCCACAAGGGGAGAGTAGCCCCCCAAATCATTGGTTCAGAGGGATGGTGGCCACAAGGGAAGAGTAGCCCCCCAAATCATTGGTTCAGTGGGATGGTGGCCACAAGGGAAGAGTAGTACCCCAAATCATTGGTTCAGTGGGATGGTGGCCACAAGGGAAGAGTAGACCCCCAAATCATTGGTTCAGTGGGATGGTGGCCACAAGGGAAGAGTAGACCCAAATCATCGGTAGTAGAAAGTGAACCCCAGGAAACAACGGTCCTTCAAATCTTTGATGTCATTGAGATCATGGCCCCCAGGAGACGATATCTCCCAAATCATTGGTTCAGTGGAATAGTGGCCACCATGGAAGAATAGCCCCCAAGTCATTGGTGTCAGTGGTATCATGTCCCCAGGAGAGGAAAGCCCCTATATCGTTGGTGTCAGTAGGATTGTGACCCCAGGAAACAACGGTCCTTCAAGCACTGATGTCATTGAGATCATGGCCCCCAGGAAGACAACATCTCCCAAATCATTGGTTCAGTGGAATAGTGGCCACCATGGAAGACTAGCCCCCAAGTCATTGGTGTCAGTGGTATCATGTCCCCAGGAGAGGAAAGCCCCTATATCGTTGGTGTCAGTAGGATTGTGACCCCAGGAAACAACGGTCCTTCAAGCACTGATGTCTTTGAGATCATGGCCCCCAGAAGACAACATCTCCCAAATGATTGGTTCAGTGGAATAGTGGCCACCATGGAAGAATACCCCCCAATATCATTGGTATCAGAGGAATAGTGGTCCCAAGAGAGACCACCCCCCAAATTGGCCCACAAATCTTTGGTGTCAGTCGGATTGTGCCCCCCCCCCCTCCTCCCTTAGGGAATGATAGCCCCTTGATTTATTAATGTCAGTGGGATTGTGGCCTCCAGGAGAAAATGGCCCCCAAATAATTGGTGCCAATGGGGATAGTGGCCTCCAGGAGAGAATAGCCCCCCAAATCATTGGTATCAATGGAAAGGTGTCCTTCAAAACACTGGTGTCAGTGGGATTGTGGCCTCCAGGGAAAAATGGCCCCCATGTCATTGGTGTCAGTAGGATGGTGCGCTCCAGGAGAGAATACCCCCCACACACACACACATCATTGGTGTCATTCCCAAATAATTGGTGTCAGTAGGACAGTGAATCCAAGAGAACGTAGCCCCTCTAATCATTGGGTCAGTGGGAAAGTGACGTCTTTGAGATCCATCGGGGGCAGATCAGAGCAGCCATGGAGACATTTCAGCTATGAGTAGTGGTGTCATTTTTGAAGACGCAACTTGTGGGGGGCCACGGGTCATCTGGTGGGCAAGTCTGAACGTGGCATTACAGCAGTGGCTGCAGGAGCAGACTGGAACCCATAGATGGCAAGAGGGAGGCCGCGGCCTGATCACTGGGGGAGGAGACTGAGGAAATGCCTCCTCCTCCTTCTACAAAGTTACAATGTACAGTCTGATCGCTGGGGGAGGGGAGACTGAGGAAATGACTCCTCCCTCTTCTACAAAGTTACAATGTACAGTCTGATCACTGGGGGAGGAGGAGACTGAGGAAATGACTCCTCCCTCTTCTACAAAGTTACAATGTACAGTCTGATCACTGGGGGAGGAGACTGAGGAAATGACTCCTGGGGGAGGAGGAGACTGAGGAAATGGACTCCTCCTCTTCTACAAAGTTACAATGTACAGTCTGATCACTGGGGGAGGAGACTGAGGAAATGGCTCCTCCCCCTTCTACAAAGTTACACTGTACGGTCTGATCACTGGGGGAAGGGGAGACTGAGGAAATGACTCCTCCTCCTTCTACAAAGTTACAATGTACAGTCTGATCACTGGGGGAAGGGAGACTGAGGAAATGACTTCTCCTCCTTCTACAAAGTTACAATGTACAGTCTGATCACTGGGGGAGGAGACTGAGGAAATGACTCCTCCCTTCTACAAAGTTACAGTGTAGTCTGATCTGATCACTGGGGGAGGAGGAGACTGAGGAAATGACTCCTCCCCCTTCTACAAAGTTACAATGTACAGTCTGATCGCCGGGGGAGGAGACTGAGGAAATGACTCCTCCTCTTCTACAAAGTTACAATGTACAGTCAGATCACTGGGGGAGGGGAGACTGAGGAAATGACTCTCCTCCTTCTACAAAGTTACAATGTACAGTCTGATCACTGGGGGGGGGGAGACTGAGGAAATGACTCCTCCTCCTTCTACAAAGTTACAATGTACGGTCTGATCACTGGGGGAGGGGAGACTGAGGAAATGACTCCTCCTCCTTCTACAAAGTTACAGTGTAGTCTGATCACTGGGGGAGGAGACTGAGGAAATGACTCCTCCCCCTTCTACAAAGTTACAATGTACAGTCTGATCACTGGGGGAGGAGACTGAGGAAATGACTCCTCCTCCTTCTACAAAGTTACAATGTACAGTCTGATCACTGGGGGAGGAGACTGAGGAAATGACTCCTCCTCCTTCTACAAAGTTACAGTTACAATGTACAGTCAGTTATGTACACTGATCGGGGGGAGGAGACTGAGGAAATGACTCCTCCTCCTTCTACAAAGTTACAATGTACAGTCAGATCACTGGGGGAGGGTAAATCCTTCGTGCTCCATAGAGCTCCTGTATTAGGAGTCGTTCTCGGGGAGACGCAGTAAATATCTGGCGGTGGGACGCACTTCCTGCGATCGATCTTCTGGCGTCTCTGGTGGAGGATGCGGGCGAGTCGCCCAGGAAGGGACGCAGGAACATGCGGGACACGGAGGTCGGCGCGCACTTCTACAAGACGCCGGGCGGCTCTCGTGGTCGAGTGACCCGTGACGCGACTTCTGGCGAGCTCCTCATGCGGCATCGCTGTCATCTCAAGGGCGGGGGGGGGGGGGGGGGACTGAAAAGCTGGAGGAGGGGGGAGGGGCGCCGGAGGGATCTGTAGAAAAAAAAAAAAAAGATTGGCGTGGAATATTCCTTCTAAGAAAACAGCTCAGAGATCACCTATCCCCCCCCCCCCCCCCCCCTGAAAATAAAACCCGCATCTGGCCCTTTTATTCTGCGATTGGACGGCGATCTCCTCGCATCCTATTGCTTGGCTCAGTCACACGAACTTTCACCCTTTACTGCCAGAGGCGATCTTGTGGGGGGTTTTTTTAGGCCTAAAGACCAATTACCCCCCCCCAAAAAAAAAAATATTTGGTGAACGCAGAGATCCCCCGAGAATTATATCGTGGTCGATACAATTTTTTTAAGAAATGCAGAAAAAAAGGTAATTTTAGGGCGCAAAATGCGATCTTCAACGCAGGCCACACACGGGTCGTAATTCAGAACGATTTTTTTTCGTCTGTAAATCAAACTGTCGTTTGCTCGGGAATCCGGCGGCGATGATTTAAAAAAAATCGGCCGACCGAGTCATGAAGTTCCCCCCATATAAACACGCGACACTTCTGTTCCTTCCGGGTCATCATGGAAACGATCGTCCGATTTGACCGTCATTGAGTCGAAAATCGGTCGTTTTCCACAAATTTTCTAACACGCCCGATCACCGAAAAAGGGGAGGAGCCACGAAAAATCGTCCGGTGCCATTGACCCCACTAACAGAGCGGCAAAATCGGCGCCGATTATTCTTAGGTCTGATTTTTACGAAAAATCTGTGGAATTTCCACTCATGTGTGGCCGGTCTTACCCATTGTTTATAATTTAAAAGATGAGCGTTGTTTTTTCCGAGGAAAACGATTTCCGAGATTAGGATCAGAATGCGACTGAAAACGTGTGTGTTTTTAACCGCCCGAAAAAGTCATTTCAGGTTGCGCATTCAAAAACGCACCTTAACGCACGTCTGTATGTAAATTGAAGGAAAAGAGACAGGAAAAAATGAACTTGGAACTCATCAAAAAACGCACCAAAAACACACCAAAAACATACCGGAAACACGGAACGCATCAAAAACGCATTAAAAATGCACCAAAAATGCACATGTTTTTGGTGCATTTTTTTGGTGCGTTCCAGTGTTTTTGGTGTGTTCCGGTATGTTTTTGGTATGTTTTTGGTGCAGATGTTTTCCAGTTTTTTAATAGCTTGGTGTTTTCCGGTGTTTTTTTTTTGGTGTGTTTTTGGTGCATTTTTGGCATGTTCCAGTGTTTTTAGCGCATTCTGGTGCGTTTTTATGTTTTCCAATGTTTTTGGTGCATTCCAGTGGTTTTGGTGCGTTTTTGTCGCGTTCCAGTGTTTTTAATGCGTTTTTTGGGCGTTTTTGGCGTGTTCCAGTTTTTGGTGCGTTCCAGTGTTTTTTGGTGTGTTCCAGTGTTTTTAATGCATTTTGGGGCATTTTTGGCGCGTTCCAGTGTGTTTGGTGAGTTTTTGGCACGTTCCAGTGTTTTTGGTGTTTTCCAGTGTTTTTGGTGCGTTTTTGGTGTTTTCCAGTGTTTTTGGTGCGTTTTTGTCGCGTTCCAGTTTTTTGGCAGTTTTTGGTGTGTTCCAGTGTTTTTAATGCGTTTTGGTGCGTTTTTTGGTGTGTTCCAGTTTTTGGTGCATTCCAGTGTGTTTTTGGTGAGTTTTTGGCACGTTCCAGTGTTTTCTGTGTCTTCCAGTGTTTTTGGTGCGTTTTTTGGTGTTTTCCAGTTTTCTTGGTTTTTCCGGTGTGTTTTTGGCTTGTTTTTGTTTTGGTGCATTTTTGGCATGTTCCAGTGTTTTTTAGTGCGTTTTTTTTGGTGCGTTTTTTTATGTGTTCCAGTGCTTTCGGTGTTTTCCAGTTTTTTGGTGCGTTTTTGTCGCGTTCCAGTGTTTTTAAATGCGTTTTTGGGCGTTTTTGGCGTTTCAAGTTTTTGGTGCGTTCCAGTGTGTTTTTGGTGTTTCCAGTGTTTTTAATGCATTTTGGGGCATTTTTGGCGCGTTCCAGTGTGTTTGGTGAGTTTTTTGGCACGTTCCAGTGTTTTTGGTGTTTTCCAGTGTTTTTTGGTGCGTTTTTGGTGTTTTCCAGTGTTTTTGGTGCGTTTTTGGCGCGTTCCAGTGTTTTTGGTGAGTTTTTTGGTGTTGTTCCAGTGTTTTTAGTGCGTTTTGGTGCATTTTTGGTGTGTTTTTTGGCCAGTTTTTTGGTGCATTCCAGTGTGTTTTTGGTGAGTTTTTGGCACATTCCAGTGTTTTTTGTGTCTTCCAGTGTTTTTGGTGCGTTTTTGGTGTTTTCCAGTTACGGTTGTTTTTTTGGTGTTTTTCCGGTGTGTTTTTTGGTGTGTTTTTTTGTGCATTTTTGGCATGTTCCAGTGTTTTTAATGCGTTCTGGTGCGTTTTTTTTCATGTGTTCCAATGTTTTTGTGCATTTCCAGTGGTTTTTGGTGAGTTTTTTGGCACGTTCCAGTGCTTTTGGTGTTTTTTTTGGTGAGTTTTTGGCATTGTTTTTGGTGCGTTTTTGTCGCATTCCAGTGTTTTTAATGGTTTTTTTTGGGCGTTTTTGGCCCAGTGTTCCAGTTTTTTGGTGTGTTCCAGTGTTTTTAATGCATTTTGGGGCATTTTTGGCGCGTTCCAGTGTGTTTGGTGAGTTTTTGGCACGTTCCAGTGTTTTTGGTGTTTTCCAGTGTTTTTGTGCGTTTTTGGTGTTTTTCCCAGTGTTTTTGGTGCGTTTTTGGCGCGTTCCAGTGTTTTTGGTGAGTTTTTGGGTGTGTTCCAGTGTTTTTAATGCGTTTTGGTGCGTTTTTGGTGTGTCCCAGTTTTTGGTGCATTCCAGTGTGTTTTTGGTGAGTTTTTGGCACGTTCCAGTGTTTTCTGTGTCTTCCAGTGTTTTTGGTGCGTTTTTGGTGTTTTCCAGTGTTTTTGGTGCGTTTTTGTTGTGCTCCAGTGTTTTTAATGCGTTTTGGGGCATTTTTGGCGTGTTCCAGTTTTTGGCGCATTCCAGTATTTTTTGTGTGTTTTTGGTGTGTTTTTGATGCGTTTTTGGTGCGTTCCAGTGTTTTTGGTGCGTTTTTGGCGTGTGTTCCAGTGAGTTTGGTGAGTTTTTGGTGCATTCCAGTGTTTTTGGTGAGTTTTTGGCGCATTCCAGTGTTTTTAATGCGTTTTGGTGCATTTTTGGCACATTCCAGTGTTTTTATGGTGCGTCCAAGTGCGTTTTTCATGTGTTTTACTGCATTCCGTGCAGAAGAAATGCCGCCTGTTCTACTCTTTTTTTCTGCACCCAGGACGCACCGGAACTGCCAGCACTGCTGTGAACTCTGACACTGACCACCATATCACCGACTTTCTGTGCGTTTTGGATGCAGAAAAAACCGCATGGCGCGTGAACCGGCCAGAAAGGTAATTTTAGGGCGTGCAGATGCGATCGATCACCTTTTTTTTTCACACTGATGCCGTGCAGCACGTGAATCGCCCGGGAGCCGCACCGCCTTCCCTGCAGATCACATGCGACGTCTGCGCGGTGCCGCAGGAGCCGTACATTTTGCGCGGCTCAAATCGCACCTTTTGTTTCCCCGCTCCTGATTCGTGTCGCATGTGATGACGAATTCTTGTAGTCGCCCTGCATTTTGCGATGTTTCGGGGGGTGTCGTTAATTTAACATTGACACCCGTACCGGGCTGCGTGGACGCCATGCGATTGGCTGCGGTTCCCACACTGCACTGGATACTCAGAGATGAGGTTGCCGAGTAAATCGATTCCCAACGCGCCAAGACGTAGAATTGCGTGCGTCTGCGAAATGTCCGCAGATTCCCGTATCCTGTATGTCTCACAGGGGACACTATAAGGCCCCCTACAGGTCGTCCAAATGGGTCGATCGATCTCACTGTGCGGGGATAGGTGACATGTATCGCCATCGACATTTCCATGAGTAGGCACCCCCGTTGCATGCATTTACATTTGTATGTGTGTGAGGGGGGGGGGGGGCTAGTGATTCACCGATATATCGGCCGCCGAAAATTACCGCTGAAAACAGCGTTATCTGCGTTTTGCTGATAAAAAAAAAATAATGATAATCGACTTCAATGCAAAAACTTTCTCTATTGACTTTAATGCAAAATTACGCTCCATTGACTTCACTACAGAATTGGATCCCATTGACTTCAGTGCAAAATCATGTCTCATTGACTTCAATGCAGAAAATCCCTGTATTGACTTCAATGCAAAATTGCGTTCTATTGACTTTAATGCACAATAGTGTCCCATTGACTTCAATGCAAAAACTCCTCCAATTTTATGTTTTTGGGCTTTTTTGACTCATTTAAATTAACAATACTAAGAAAATACCTGTGTAAGACTGAAGGGGAGGAGCCAGTACACCTGTGTAAGACTGAAGGGGAGGAGCCGGTACACCTGTGCAGGACTGAAGGGGAGGAGCCGGTACACCTGTGCAAGACTGAAGGGGAGGAGCCGGTACACCTGTGTAAGACTGAAGGGGAGGAGCCGGTACACCTGTGCAAGACTGAAGGGGAGGAGCCGGTACACCTGTGTAAGACTGAAGGGGAGGAGCCAGTACACCTGTGTAAGACTGAAGGGGAGGAGCCGGTACACCTGTGCAGGACTGAAGGGGAGGAGCCGGTACACCTGTGCAGGACTGAAGGGGAGGAGCCAGTACACCTGTGTAAGACTGAAGGGGAGGAGCCAGTACACCTGTGCAAGACTGAAGGGGAGGAGCCAGTACACCTGTGTAAGACTGAAGGGGAGGAGCCAGTACACCTGTGTAAGACTGAAGGGGAGGAGCCAGTACACCTGTGTAAGACTGAAGGGGAGGAGCCGGTACCCCTGGAGGATGCAGGTCAGATTGAAGGCTGTCCTGTTCTCAGCAGGGATCCATCATAGGGGTGGTAGGGGCCCCGCGGCCCCCCCTGGTGTACTAGTAAAGCAGCTCCCAGGCTGGCTGATACGCGCAGTGCTGCCGGTCCTCTTCACACCTCGAACTTTGCAGATCGATCGCTCCGGCCCATTTGTTTCGGCCACAACGCCCTCCTTGTGAAGATGGATGGGGTGTGTTCTCCGGCCTCCTGGACTCTCTGCGTCAGACACGGATCGTCGCCCTTTTGGCTGCTTTGCTAATGTTGTTCTATTGGTCCTGTCACGGCTCACCGAGGTCCCACGCCGGACACGCCGCGCGCCTTTATTGTCGGGATCAAGCGATGCAGAACCGCGGCCTGCCGGAAATCATTGATATGAAGGGCAGCATTGAGATATTAGGAAGGCCAGAGATCTGCCGGCCTCAGCGCCTCATTCATCTGTACAGATTATCATAGAGATCAAAGCGGAACGGTGTGACCAGAGAGTGCTGTGCTGTATTGTGCCGCGTGACCAGAGAGTGCTGTGCCGCGTGACCAGAGAGTGCTGTGCCGCGTGACCAGAGAGTGCCGCGTGACCAGAGAGTGCTGTACTGTATTGTGCCGCGTGACCAGAGAGTGCCGTGTGACCAGAGAGTGCTGTACTGTATTGTGCCGCGTGACCAGAGAGTGCTGTGCCGCGTGACCAGAGAGTGTGTGCTGTATTGTGCTGTGTGACTAGAGAGTGCTGTGTGACTAGAGAGTGCTGTGTGACCAGAGAGTGCTGTGTGACCAGAGAGTGCTGTGTGACCAGAGAGTGCTGTGCTGTATTGTGCTGTGTGACTAGAGAGTGCTGTGTGACCAGAGAGTGCTGTGCTGTATTGTGCCGTGTGACCAGAGAGTGCTGTGCTGTATTGTGCCGTGTGACCAGAGAGTGCTGTGTGACCAGAGAGTGCTGTGCTGTATTGTGCCGTGTGACCAGAGAGTGCCGTGTGACCAGAGAGTGCTGTGCTGTATTGTGCCGCGTGACCAGAGAGTGCTGTGTGACCAGAGAGTGCTGTACTGTATTGTGCCGCGTGACCAGAGAGTGCTGTGCCGCGTGACCAGAGAGTGCTGTGCCGCGTGACCAGAGAGTGCTGTGCCGCGTGACCAGAGAGTGCTGTGCCGCGTGACCAGAGAGTGCTGTGCTGTGCTGTATTGTGCCGTGTGACCAGAGAGTGCTGTGCCGTATTGTGCTGTGTGCGGGGGGGGCGGACTGACAACTCATGGGGCCCCCGGGCAATAGGGGATCATGGGGCCCCTGTGTCCTAGCCCACACTTAAAAAAGCCTATGAAAAAGGTACCAGGGGCATCTCATGGGGCCCCCTACTGACCCCGGCCCTCGAGTAGTGCCCGAGTTTCCAAATGGTCAGTCTGCCCCTGTGTGGTACACAGATTAGTCCTGCCCAGGGGCGGACTGACAACTCATGGGGCCCCCGGGCAATAGGAGATCATGGGGCCCCTGTGTCCTTGCCCAAACTCAAAAAAGCCAATGAAAGGTACCAGGGGCATCTCATGGGGCCCCCTACTGGCCCCGGGCCCTCGGGCGGTGCCCGAGTTTCCAAATGGTCAGTCCGCCCCTGGCTGCGTGTGACCAGAGAGTGCCGTGTGACCAGAGAGTGCCGTGTGACCAGAGAGTGCCGTGCCGCCGTAACTCTTCCTAGAATGCACATCGGCGCTGCAGAAGGTTGGAGATCCTCAGCTACTTCATGACGGACATTCCAGGGACTAAATATGTGACCAGATCCATGAATACAATATGGCGGCCGGGCGACTCTCTCGGCGTTTTACCCCAAAGGGACCCGATACTCCCGATGAGACTGTTGGTGGTCGTTGGGGACATTGGTGGGAGTCAGAACTCCATCCTTGCAGTCAGGCCACGGGCTCTGCCAGGCGGTGTTGGACCTGGAACCCCCCGGCCTCCTCTGGAGGAACCCTAGTTGGGAGAGGCTGGGTATGCACTTGGTGGTGGAATCCGGCGCAGACTATCACGCTGCCTTTCGGGGCTGTTGGTGGCTGTAGTTGGTGGTGGAATCCGGCGCAGACTATCACGCTGTTGGTGGTTGTAGTTGGTGGTGGAATCCGGCGCAGACTATCACGCTGATGGTGGTTGTAGTTGGTGGCGGAATCCGGCGCAGACTATCACACTGATGGTGGTTGTAGTTGGTGGTGGAATCCGGTGCAGACTATCACACTGATGGTGGTTGTAGTTGGTGGTGGAATCCGGCGCAGACTATCACGCTGTTGGTGGTTGTAGTTGGTGGTGGAATCTGGCGCAGACTATCACGCTGTTGGTGGTTGTAGTTGGTGGTGGAATCTGGCGCAGACTATCACGCTGTTGGTGGTTGTAGTTGCTGGTGGAATCCGGCGCAGACTATCACGCTGTTGGTGGTTGTAGGTGGTGGTGGAATCCGGCGCAGACTATCACGCTGTTGGTGGTTGTAGTTGGTGGTGGAAATCCGGCGCAGACTATCACGCTGTTGGTGGTTGTATTTGATGGTGGAATCCGGCGCAGACTATCACGCTGATGGTGGTTGTAGTTGGTGGTGGAATCTGGCGCAGACTATCACGCTGATGGTGGTTGTAGTTGGTGGTGGAATCCGGCACAGACTATCACGCTGTTGGTGGTTGTATTTGATGGTGGAATCCGGCGCAGACTATCACGCTGATGGTGGTTGTAGTTGGTGGTGGAATCTGGCGCAGACTATCACGCTGATGGTGGTTGTAGTTGGTGGTGGAATCTGGCGCAGACTATCACGCTGATGGTGGTTGTAGTTGGTGGTGGAATCCGGCGCAGACTATCACGCTGTTGGTGGTTGTAGGTGGTGGAATCCGGCGCAGACTATCACGCTGATGGTGCTTGTAGTTGGTGGTGGAATCCGGCGCAGACTATCACGCTGTTGGTGGTTGTAGTTGGTGGTGGAATCCGGCGCAGACTATCACGCTGTTGGTGGTTGTAGTTGCTGGTGGAATCCGGCGCAGACTATCACGCTGATGGTGGTTGTAGTTGCTGGTGGAATCCGGCGCAGACTATCACGCTGCCTTTCAGGGCTGTTGGTGGCTGTAGTTGGTGGTGGAATCCGGCGCAGACTATCACACTGATGGTGGTTGTAGTTGGTGGTGGAATCCGGCGCAGACTATCACGCTGTTGGTGGTTGTAGTTGGTGGTGGAATCCGGCGCAGACTATCACACTGATGGTGGTTGTAGTTGCTGGTGGAATCCGGCGCAGACTATCACGCTGCCTTTCGGGGCTGTTGGTGGCTGTAGTTGGTGGTGGAATCCGGCGCAGACTATCACGCTGATGGTGGTTGTAGTTGGTGGTGGAATCCGGCGCAGACTATCACACTGTTGGTGGTTGTAGTTGGTGGTGGAATTTAGTAGCTATGCTTTCCCAGGATCCCATGTGGACCTCCTTTCAGACCTTGCCCTCCTTAGACCCGCCACTCTGCAGTCCAGCACCGGTCCTGTTTCAGGTTCAATGACTCCCAGTGCCATTCAACCACTTCCCGTACGGACAGGGTGTCATGGACCCACCCCTGAGGGGGCTAACCACTCACAGGGCAATGAAGGTCCTATCGTCCTCCCATCAGCAACACTTTGAAGGCCACTAAGCCCCAGATTAGAGGTTAGGACCTGCTGGTCATGTGACTAAAAGGTAAGTCTTGGGGGGGGGGGGATGGGATTGGACGGTAGGAATTTGTCCCCTTGGAGCCACGGTTGGGAAAAGCCAGGTTACCGCCACGCACGAGTCCGAAGGGGTTAAGGAAAGCCCTTGATGGCCTCATTCAGTCCCCATCAAGATGTCTCTTAGCGTCTCAGTTCCTGCCTTGTTTCCATGGAAATAATGAGGGAACCTTTCCGGCTGCGGCTCCCTCTGCAGGGGGAGGCGGTGGGGGGGGGGGGGGGGGGGGGGCGCCGTGTAACAGATCTCCAGAACCCGCCACACTGTCATTATTAATTCACTAACAGACATCCCAGGAGAGCCCCTCGCTCAGGATGAGATTGGGGGGGGAGCACAGAGAGGAGCCCCCAACAGGAGGACACCTCTCCAGACTTTGAGTCTGCGGAATTTTTCCTTACTCATTGATTGACCCCCCGCAGCTCCGGGGAGCCGTCACGGCGTATCTCCCCATCGCGGAGTATCTCCCCATCGCGGCGTATCTCCCCATCGCGGAGTATCTCCCCATCGCGGCGTATCTCCCCATCGCGGGCGTATCTCGCGGCGTATCCCCCATCGCGGCGTATCTCCCCATCGCGGCGTATCTCCCCATCGCGGCGTATCTCCCCATCGCGGCCGTATCTCCCCATCGCGGCCGTATCTCCCCATCGCGGCCGTATCTCCCCATCGCGGCCGTATCTCCCCATCGCGGCCGTATCTCCCCATCGCGGCCGTATCTCCCCATCGCGGCCGTATCTCCCCATCGCGGCCGTATCTCCCCATCGCGGCCGTATCTCCCCATCGCCCGTATCTCCCCATCGCGGAGTATCTCCCCATCGCGGCCGTATCTCCCCATCGCGGCGTATCTCCCCATCGCGGCCGTATCTCCCCATCGCGGCCGTATCTCCCCATCGCGGCCGTATCTCCCCATCGCCCATCCCCATCGCGGCCGTATCTCCCCATCGCGGCCGTATCTCCCCATCGCGGCCGTATCTCCCCATCGCGGTAATCCCGGAAAATACGGAGCGTTGCTCGGCCAGAATGAAAAAATATTCCAAAACGAATCCTCCCCAAAGAGAATGAGGACCTCTCCCGAAGGTCCCGCTGTTGGCCTACGCCAGTACCAACCGTCCTCTTTGTAGGGGGCACTTTGTTCTTCTAGTGACATCTCAGTTCCAGCTTCCCTCCCACCAGGCCTTCCCTCCTCCACGGGGGACAAAGCGTTGTCACCCTATAACAGGAAGGACTTTCATGGCGGGATTCATGGCGGGATTCATGGCGGGATTCATGGCGGGATCGCCAGGGGTTATAGTAATAACATATTTCAGAATACCGAGAAATGCCTTTATATGGGCAAACGTTGGTGGACACCTGACCTTTGCACCTATGTGACCTCT